GATAGAGATGCATGGAGATATCTGAGGCTCTTCATTGGACACGACAATAACAACAGAAAATTCACATGGACCCAGAACAGCAGCTTTACACACCCAAGATAGAGAACATTGCGACTGCTGTGATAGAGATGTAAGGAGACATCTGAGGCTCTTCATTGGACACGACAATAACAACAGAAAATTGACATGGACCCAGAACAGCAACATTACACACCCAAGATAGTGGACATTGCGACTGCTGTGATAGAGATGTATGGACACATCTGAGGCTCTTTATTGGACACGACAACAACAACAGAAAATTGACATGGACCCAGAGCAGCAACATTACACACCCAAGATAGAGAACATTACAACTGCTATGATAGAGATGCATGGAGATATCTGAGGCTCTTCATTGGACACGACAATAACAACAGAAAATTCACATGGACCCAGAACAGCAGATTTACACACCCAAGATAGAGAACATTGCGACTGCTGTGATAGAGATGTAAGGAGACATCTGAGGCTCTTCATTGGACACGACAATAACAACAGAAAATTGACATGGACCCAGAGCAGCAGCTTTACACACCTAAGATAGAGAACATTGCGACTGCTGTGATAGAGATGCATGGAGACATCTGAGGCTCTTCATTGGACACGACAATAACATGAGGATCTAAAAGTGAGTCAAACTCTATGTTGTAGTCATAGTTAAAATCGATGCCTATTCAGAATTTGTACATTACATATCTGGCGATGGTAATTAGAGGCATTCCTAAAGACCCCCTGATTGCTTGCAGAAGTACTCTTCATTGTTGGGAGAGCTTGCTTGATGGAAAAAAATAGTATTTTCACTTTTTTTTCTCTTTATCAAATTGCCAAGCCAGTTCTGTAACTTAGAATAGTATCGTAAATCATATTTCTTGAAAATAAAGATACTTCGTCCAGTAAATCTTTTCATTACCTCGACGTTTCAACAAAATCTTTTGTTCTCGTCAGAAGCAAACAAAAATTAAACATTTAGCAAAGCGTTGAAAATCATTCTTTTAACGCCATGCTAAATATTTAATTTTTGTTTGCTCCTGACGAGGACAAAATATTTTTGTCGAAACGTCGAGGTAATAAAAAAATTTACTGGCCGCGAAGTATCTTTATTTTCAAGAAATAGAATAGTATGTTTTCTCTCTTATCATTGACTTGTGTGTTCAATAAAATGTTTCCAATCTCTCCGGCTGTTATGGAACTGTTGTACTAGTTGTCTCAATGAGCGATTCTCCAGCATCAGCCGTACAATAATGAAACCCCTTTTCTTCCATTTCAATCACCATTGCATTTAACTCACCTTTCTACCCATCACCATAGCCTTTTCCACCCATTTCTATATACACCTCTTTTTATATTAATCTAATTAGTACTACACCTATCCCCCTGATTTACACGGTACTTGTTTTACACGTTTTCGCTTTTCAACGGTTTTCCATATAATTTTTTTTATCGCACTATACTAAATGCTACCGTGATTGAACAGATGCGCTGTGTACACATCTCACGAGGAATCCCGAGCTTATGTGCTGACTACATATTTTAACCTGTCAATGCATTTTATTTTTATTACTGTGTACACCTATCCCCCGATTTACACGTTTTTCTCAGGAACGTATCTACCGTTTAAATAGGAGGATAGGTGTATTGTATAAAAGTATTTAATATATTTCATATACAGTGGTACCTCGACATACGAGTTTAATTCGTTCCGCAACCTTGCTCGTATCTTGAATTACTCGTATCTCGAAGCAAATTTCCCCATACAAAACAATTGAACTACCATTAATCTGTTCCAACCTCCAAAATTTCACCCCAGTTATTTTTGTTACGTGGTTTTAAATAATAAAAACGTATTTATAAATATCAAATATTTATTGCACAAAAACAAAAAAGTTTGTTTCTTCCTCCCTCTCAGAATGTTCCGGAAATGAGTTAGGCAAGTGTCATTAAAAAGGTCAGATGCACGACCTGTTGCAACTTTTTCTGGGTGTTTTTTTTCCACGAACTGGGAAACTCTCTCCCACATTCCTAAGATCTCCTTTATTTGACTTGTAGAAATTTCACGTTTTAATTCAATACTCATCATCTTTTTCTTAGCACTTGACTTTTTACAAACTTTCTTCCGATCCATGGTTATAAAAATAAATGAACTAAAACTGTAAATGTAAACGCAACACAAAACGCGAACACAAAACACAACTTATCACTGCGGATGCACGCTGCTAACTTATCGTGATGGCGCGACTGCGTGTTACTACCGAACCGAACTCGTATCTCGAATTTCGCTCGTAACTAAAAGCAAAAAATAACTTGCTCGTCGGCTCGTATCTCGAAAAACTCGTATGTTGGGGCACTCGTATGTCGAGGTACCACTGTACAAATTATTAATTTTAATATTTGTATTGTTTATATTTTGTTCCTCTGAAAATTTCCCTCATTGCATATCTTATAATTTTTTTTTTGGTTTTGTTTTAAATAATTTGCCGTGTCATTCTGAAGTTGGTCTTTCTTAATTTTCCACGTGACATTATATTAAGAAAAAGGCATCTCCTTATCGTGCAACTGAAAGTTGCTAAAGGCTTGCTTTCAGTTGCACGATAAGGAGATGCCCTTTTCCATAATTTATGCATCTTGTCCCAGTAAAATATCATATTTGTACTATTTTTTTTTTCACAATATAGTTTTGTCAATCAGAATATTTGCAATACGTTGAAATGGCAAGTTTTCAAGAGTCAGCCAATTCATTTGTCCATCAGGCCATTTGTTTCGCAAATACTCTTACAATATAAAATGAAAGGATTTAAAAGCACGAATGTTTCTTTTATACATAATACAAACTTCTAATGTCCTTACTGCGAAGACAAAATATATTGGGAGGGCTTGGTTCATCAGTGGTGAACCCTCCCAGCGATTTCGCCAATTCAATCCACCAGACCGCTTCTCAGAGCTCTAATACTGTATTGGACGATTCTGCTTATATACGTAGCACTGAAGGGTGGAATCTCAGAAATGGTTCTCAATATGAGAACTCTCATTAAAATATGGAAACAGCTATAACTGCCTTCAAGCATTATGATAAAGAAGGAGATTAGAAACTTGGCTGCGAGCAGGATATCCAGTAGAGGAAGTAAGAAAGTTACCAAAACTAGTAGATATTACATGATAGCCATCAAACAACCTCAGGAAAATACGTACCTAGTTATCACTAAATCTGACAAAGGAGCCACTACCGTTATCATGATCAAATCTGATTATTCTAAGAAAATCCATAACATTCTTGAAGACGTGAAATAATAGTACAAATGTGATATTGTACTGGGATAAGGTTCATTTATTAAAAAAGAAAAAAAGGCATCTCCATATCGGGCAACTGAAAGTTGCTGATGGCTTGCGCCATCTATCGGAATAAATATCAACTATTCTTTGTTTTTTAAAAATTATTCTAGAGTATTTGGCAAATTCTGGAATAATTAAAAAACAAACGAATAGTTGATATTTATTCCGATAGATGGCGCAAGCCATCAGCAACTTTCAGTTCCCCGATAAGGAGATGCCCTTTTTTTCTTTTTTAATTCTTGAAGACGTTAATGCAATTCGAACAGATCGATTCAACCACCAATTCACAAAACGTTGCCTTATTTAAGAAAAGACTGACAGCCTTACAGAAAGAGAAACTAATAACAGACGTCCAACTGAAGAAATTCACAGCCAACACAAACCCATACATCTATGGCCTACCGAAACTTCACAAAGAGAACATCCCGTTAAGACCGATAATTGCTTATCATCTTTCGCCAGCTATGCCATTGTCCAGGTTCCTGACCTCATACCTAACCCCCGTGATTCGGTCTTCAAACTTCTATTCCATTAGCAACATATCTGATTTTGTAAAACGACAAAACCAGGATGCAAAATTGGTAACTTCGATGTAGTAGCATCCTATAAATAGACAGCTCCATGCAGCTTGAGTAACTACACTACTATGCAACTTGATTTACATCAATGTAAATAATTAATAAGTTACTTTAGAACTCATTGTAAATAACTCAACTTGATCAACTTTCTCTCTCCACGATACATTACAGATAACTTCATTAAATCAACTTCCATCATTGCATAACATACTGTAAATAACTACCTTGCGTATTCTTCTATCTGCTTATGTTGTTGCTTATTTTTTTAATGTATATGTTTATTCAATGCTCTTTTTCTTAATTGTTTATTTTCTTTTGATAATTTTGTTACCTACTCTACTATAATTACACCCGTACCTCGCTTTGCGTCGGGGTTACGTTCCAAAAAAACACGACGCAAATTGAAACGACGCAAAGTGAAAACATGTGAAGGCGCAATCAAAAACAAAGGTGTTGCCATATTTTAGGAAAAAAAATAAAAAATAAAATTAAAGACTCGAATCCAAAACAACGCAACTTCAAAAATCTAACGACGCACAGTGAAAATCAGTAAAAATTAAGCAGCGACGCAACTTCGAAAAAAACGCAAAACGAAACGACGCAAAGCGAGGTATTGGTGTATTGTAAATAGTTTTACGCGCAATTATCCAGATCGGATATAGCGTGTCTTATTTGCAACTGATAATAAATAAATGTAGCATCCTTATTTCTTAGTTTAACTCACCACTTAATAATAGACAATCTGAAGGGCATATTGTCAGGAGGACAGAGTTTACTGGTATTCCCTATTAACTTGACTAGATGGACAGGTCAGGGAAAACAGTGGCGCCACGTGGAAGGGGGAAAAACTCAATTCACCTCTCTTGCTCTAACTTCTGGGTCGATACCCTATAGTAACCTTTAATTTGTAAAACGACATTTGAAAATCATCCCGCATGTGTTTCTTTTAAACGAAAAATCGAAATTTATTTTAAAGGAGAAATAACGATTATTTCTAACCTTATGGATGAGGTATGAAAGGATGAATTGTAAAGAGTAATGATAAACACGGAAAAATAAAAATGTCCAGGGATGGGAATCGAACCCACAGTGTTCCGCTTACCAGGCAGGTGCCATGTCCACTAGTCTACTTTATTTTATATTTAAAATCTTTCATATATATACACAGTTAAACCTGTATATAGAGCCCCCTCTTGGGTCTCACCAAAATAGGGTGCTATAGACAGGTCACTTTTAATGTAAATCGCATCGTACTATGTATTTAAAATCGGGCACTATAGAGAGGAAGGCGCTATTTAGAGGGGACGCTATAGTCAGGTTTAACTGAATAACTAATTAAATAAATATTTAAAGTAATTAGGAAGCTTATTTAATTATTTTTCATCGCGACAATTTTAAGTCAAAGTTCAACGAATGCCATAGAAACCAATAGTCACACATCACGTTATTCTAAATCTGTCTCTCAATGATGAGTTTTAAATTTGAAAATGGAATTTACAAATAATTGTTGTGGTTCCCCAATGGGATCAATTGCTTTAAAGAACTAGGCATGAAGTAGTGATACCAGTACATCAAAGATTACTTTTGTGAAATTGATATAGATAAATAACATCAAATTCGAAACACTTAGGACAGCTACAACCCCCCAGATTAAATACACAATGGAAACCGGAACTAAAGAAGCACTACCTTATTTAGATATTAGCATCCTTAGAACCGAACAAAAATTTCCCTTATTCTACAGTTAATTACAAAAAAAGGATAATTATATCTGAGTTTTAATTCATTTGGTATCCAATAGGTTATAAAATATTAATTAGCTTTTTTTTTATTGCTTATCCCTAGTACACGTAGTACAGGCCACGATAATCATGGTGGGTAGTTAGCGACTGCTTTTACTGTAAGTACACCACATGTCTACACATGTGAAAAGAAGTTCGACTTTTGCACTTACAAATGTGCCAAAGCCCCGTTTGGTTAGTTGCATTCGCTGGTGGGGTTAAACTTTTACAAGAATCGGGGGCCATTGGAGCATTTTTTTAAATCAGAAAAAAGTGCCAATGCGGGAATCGAACCCGGGTCGTAGCGGTCGATAACCAACGGTTTAGACCATCCTTCCACCGACCCCATATATTAATTAGTTAAAATGCTAACTAAAAGAATTAGTACTCATTTCTCTCTGGCTATATTCAAAAGAATAGAGAGAGAAACGCTTAATATCATTTTAAACCTGCAAAAATTACGGATTTACATTAAAATTCATACAGAAGAACAACTACAACCAATTAATCCCCAAGAATCAGACAGTATATCGAACCAATTGTTATCTACAGTATTCTCCAACCAACAAAAAATTCGCTTATGAATTAAATAAATTCGACATAAGATATTTATTCAGCAAATGTCAATCCATCGGTCAAATGATAATAAACCCTATTACCAAATTAAACATAGAAATAGAACCAGGAAATCAGCACAATGCCATATATTCAGTATCCAGCCAACAGTACCTCCCTCATACATAGGACAAACCAGCCGACCATTCTCCACCAGAATCAAAGAACACATCCGTAACATTACAAATCACGCAGTAGATTATTAATATATCAGCATGAAGAATTCACCGGCCACCTATTCAACCCACAGGACGTCAATGTTATTCACAAAACATATTTACAAAACCTAATAGACTCAATATATAATCATTAATATCAAATAGTAATAACATTATATATATACTAGCGGATGTGCCCGGCTTCGCCCGGGTTTTACCCGAGTGAATGTTTGTCTAACGAACATTTGTTAAAACAATTCTCTTTAAACTTATAAAACGTACTCGGCTTCGCCCGGGGTTTTACCCGAGTAAAGGTTTGTCTAGCGAACATTTGTTAAAACAATTCTCTAAAAACTTATTTAAAAATAAAAAAGATATATTTTGATAATTTGAAACTCGTAAATTTGAATCTCTCGATAAAGTGAACATTTTTTCCCGGTCCCTGTGTGCCTTGTCATCCTGAATTTTGTCTTTCCTAATTTTCTACATTAGAAAATCATAGCTTTATCTAGTGAACATTTTTTCCCGGTCCCTTGAGAAATACTCGATAAGTTGAATAAAATCAATATTAATTGGTTCCCTCGGTAAATTGGAAGTTAAAGGAATAGTATCTTCGCCTTGGAATTGTATCATTATTCTTGTCGCAAATAAATTGCCGTGTCATCCTGAGATAATCTTACTTTTGATAAATAATATTTAAGATAACAAACTTAGTGATAAGAAAACTTTTTATCATCGTCACAATGGGGGCGCTGCTTGCGAGTTAAATCTACAAATCTGCAAATAACTCTAAGGATATTCAAGATATTCATGAAATTATTTTTCAAAAACCTTACCGGTGATATACCTAATAATATCCCAAAATTTCACGGCGATTGTATGTATGGTTTTTGAATCTATAGAGTACAGACAGACAGACATTCAATTTTATATATATAAGATAATATAAATGAGTTTTAAAAATTGTAAAAAAAAAATGCATCGGCCGGGAATCGAACCCGGGCCGCCCGCGTGGCAGGCGAGCATTCTACCACTGAACCACCGATGCTTTAAAAAATGGCCATATTTAGGTATTCATTCCATTCCGGATTAGTCCGCGTAAAAAAAAGTTCTTCAAATGAAAAAAAAGAAATAGCCAAAAATACTAATCAAAATGCAGCCGAAAAATTTCCTCAGGTTTATAAAAAGCGACATGCAAAATTTGGTACCAATTGGTTCAGTAGTTTTTGAGTTTATCGCGAAACAGACAGACAGACAGAAATTGACTTTTATATATATTGTTGCACCAGGTTGCGGCTTGGCAGACTCTTCAGCCTGGATTCTCTCCTGTGCTGGGTCTTGCATCTTACCAGAGCGTGTTTCAACCATCCTACAAATTTATAAAAGGGAATAACGAGATAAGTCTTCTTTAAGTAGCCACCAGAATCCTTTTTCTATTTTCTTACATCAAAGAGAGCAGTGAAGTCACAGTGTACCTAAATACAAATGATGATAAATTAATAATCTGTTTTAAATAAATATCATAGAATATTTTATATAAAAATAAATAAATATATAATTTAAATTTCAAATATATTAAAACTAATATAAGAAATACGCCATTAATCATGATGTAACACTTCCCCCTCTCCAGAGGTCGTCACGTCCTCGTGATTGACCTCATCAATTCTTTCAAAATAGGGTTTGATTCTTGAGACATGGACAATCAATGGGTCTTGGCCAGGATTATCTTTTGGTTCAATTAAGTAATTTACGTTGGACAGCTTCTCTAATATTCTATATGGGCCAAAATATTTTCTCAGTAGTTTCTCACACTTTCCTATTTTCCTAATTGGTGTCCAAACTGCTACTAATTCTCCTGGTTCGTAGCTTCTTTCCATGTGTTTCTTGTCATAGTTCTTTTTCATTCTTTCTTGAGTCTTTATTGTGTTGTTAATAACTAATTTTCTTGTTCTGTTTATTTTGTCTAAGTGATGTTTTATGTATTCATCATAATCATCTTTGTCAATGTCCACCGAGATATTCCTGTCGTCCAAAAGAGACGTGGGTTCTCTTCCAAACATCAGGAAAAAGGGAGAATATCCTGTGGTTTCCTGAATTGTAGTATTGTAAGCGTGAGTGATGAATGGGAGTATTTCGTCCCAATTTTTCTGATCAGTGTTCACATACATACTGAGCATATTGATCAATGTTCTATTTAACCGCTCTGTCAATCCATTAGTCTGGGGATGATAGCTCGTTGTGAAGCAATGTTTAATCTTGCACGTTTTCATCACCTCTTTCATTAAATTACTGGTAAATTGAGAGCCTCTGTCACTAATAAGATATTGTGGGGCTCCGTGCCGAAGAAAAATATCCTCTACTAGAAATTTAGAAACTTCTTTCACTGTTGCTTCCGAGACTGCTCTTGTTTCTGCATATCTAGTGTAGTAGTCCGACAGCACGATTATCCATTTTTTCCTGTTTTTTGTAGATGGTAGTGGACCAACAAAGTCAATTCCAATTCTTTCGAAAGGAAAGTTGGCTGGGGGGATGGGCTGTAGTAGTCCAGAAGGTAATTGGTTTGAGCCTTTCCTACTTTGGCAAAGGTGACACGTCTTAACGAATTCTGAGACATCCTTTAGCATGGATGGCCAAAAGTATTTACTCTTTATTCGGTACATGGTTCTGGCGACGCCCAGATGGCCATTCGACATATGATTGTGATATTCTTTCATAATTTCTCTCTTTTTATTCTCTGGAACCACAAGCAACCACGCCCTGCCTTCAGGGTTCGGGTTTTTCTTAAAGAGGCATCCATCTTCTTCTTTAAAGTTTTGCGCAATTGATCGCCTGCTTCCATTAAGGTTTTTCTTAACACTTTCGATAAATTTATCCTCTTCGTCTGTTATTTGATTTAAAAATAGCCTTTCAAAATCCTCATCCCAATCAGTTTCTGGTAAGGGCCCCCTAGATAAGCCATCGGCGTCCAGATGCTTCTTTCCCGATTTATGTATTATATCGAAGTCATATTCTTGAATTTTCAATGCCCATCTTGCCAATCGACCTGTTGGATCCTTCAAGTTTTTGAGCCAGCATAAGGCGTGATGGTCTGTTACTATTTTAAAGTGTCTTCCATAAAGGTAGGGTCGTAATTTTGACATTGACCAGACAACGGCCAGACATTCTTTTTCAGTGGTTGAATAATTTTGCTCCGCTTTACTTAGGGTACGACTCAAATATGAGATCACCTTCTCTTCACCACCGATGTCTTGGACAAGTGTTGCACCTATGCCGATGTTGGACGCATCAGTATGAACATAAGTAGGTGCATTTGGATTGAAGTGACCTAAAATTGGTGGACTTAATAGTGCTGTTTTTAGGGTTTGAAACGCTTCCTCTTGTCTTTCTGTCCAGGTAAATGATACACTTTTTTTTATAAGGTTGGTCAAAGGGTCAGCAATTTTTGAAAAGTCTTTGATAAATTTTCTATAATATGAACACATTCCCAAAAAGGATTGTACTTCTTTGACCTTTTTGGGCCGAGGAAAATTTCTGACAGCTTTGATGTTATGTTCCGCGGGTTTTATACCATGTTTGCTC